AAGCAAGCTGGGCCTGGTGAGTGGCTGTTTGAGCCAGAGAGGGGAGCAGCAGCACCTGTGCTGCCGCCGTCTTGGCTGATCTCCCAGTAAGAGAAAAGGACTGGGCTGAGAAACAAGCAAGCTGGGCCTGGTGAGTGGCTGTTTGAGCCAGAGAGGGGAGCAGCAGCACCTGTGCTGCCGCCTTCATGAATTGGGACGAACCAGTTCGTGCCCATCTCTAAGGGCAATCGTCACTACCCAAGATGGCTGAGGACCAACTGAGCTGGCACAACGCTAGCTGAGTCTGTGCTAAATCCAAACCCCTCTCACAGCCTTGGGATCTTGAAATTAAGATTTATAGAATAAGTGAATTAGAAGGCACCTATAAGACCATTTCCTGCCAACCTAGCAGTTTGAAAGCATGTAAAAATGCGAGTAGATGAACAGGGACCACCACAGTGGGAAGGTAACGGTGTTCCATGTCTAGTCGCGCTGGCCACGTGACCATGGAAACTGTCTTCGGACAAACGCTGGCTCTACAGCTTGAAGACGGGGATGAGCAACCCCCCCTACAGTCGGACACAACTGAACTAAATGTCAAGGGGAACCTTTACCTTTACCTATAAGCCCATCGAGTCCTACCCCCTGCTCAATGCAAGAATCCAAATCAAAAGCAAATCTGACAAATACAGTAGTTGTCCAATTTTCTCTTGAATGCCTCCAGCGCTGGAGCACTCACCACCTTCTAAGTGGTGGTTGCTTTGGACTGATGTTGTCCTAGCAAAATAGCTTGACTCAGATCCATAGGATGTAAGTAAAAGTATTTAATCTAGATCCAACCTTCTGAGATTATTGTTCATTCATTAACAGCAGTGTGCCTAGCAAAAGCTTTTATTTTTATTGAAACATTTCAAAACAGTCTTTTATCCTTCACCTCAAGATAGTGAAGAAAAATATAACAAAACCATACAAATGACAGCAAAAAATGCTAGAACAGAAATGTAATCAAGAAACTTCCAGGAGGCTAATTGTGGTAATCATCTGTAAAGAGGGAAAGGGTAGTCATGTGTTGTCTTACACACAAACAAGTTTTATTAGGTATAGGCTGAACAGAATGAGAAAAGCCTTTAATTACTGAAAATTGCCAGGGTGATTTTAGCAGTGGTGGTGATTCTCAGGAAAGACTTCCTCCTCCCATTCCGCAGCTCCCACGGCTCTCCAACAATGAAAGGGGTTACCTGAGAGCCATGGGATCCTCAAGACAGAAGTAGGAAATGTTGTATTTCCAAATAAAGTGTCCATGCCAATGATGTAATCAGCCTTCCATGAATGTAGCTGCACAAAACAGGATTTCAACCAAGATGTTGGCTGCTTCTTCATTTTTAAAGGAATCATTTCCCATTCTTGCCTGGTAAATTAACAGGGCAGGGAGAGAGGTGAGTAGAATGACTAAATGGATGGCAAAGAGAACATGGGGATGCAATGGCCTGGCTTTTTTCACATTCACTCACAAACTCAGAAAACGCCACAGGGCAGAAGGGGGAAGAACACAGAACTTGGAAAAGTAACCCTGTTGGAAGACGAAGTCCTAGAATGCCCGGACGATGTGGCCTGCGGCCATACCAGCTGTGGACTCGTGCAAGCTGTGGTTCAAAAACATCCCTTTCTCAGACTCTGAAAAAGATGAGCAGAACCTTACCCCCTAATCAACATCACACAGTTGCATCATTTTACAGAGGGTCCTGCTAAATAAGCACTGGTCCCACCATCCAATTAGCACCTGTAGGCCAAGATCCGCCGAAGCAGAAAGCAGCACCCTTGTCCTTAAATGGGGTCCTAGAGAGAAAAAAGGACTCTCCAGCAGCATCAGAAATGCTGTCAAAGCCTCTTGGGAGCTTTTCCAGGCGAGTCTCACGACTCAAATCCACAGCCATTCTGGAGCTCACAGGGAACGGGACTGAGCAGTAGGTGGCAGAACAGGAAACCAGTCATGACGGCAGGTTTTGGCTGCGTCCTTCTGCAGGCTGTAACTGGTCAAACCACCGCCGCCACCACCCTGCAACTATTGCCCTTATAAGATCCTGGCCACAGACTGGATGACCAAAATCACAGATCTGTATAATTCAGAAACAACCCCACAAACGAGACAGTGATATTGGAAGATGAACTCTTTGTTTTGATTTAGAGTTGGAAAAGGCACCCAAACAGATGCAGAAATGCCTGCTTTATTAATTCAAAGATTTTCTCCCTCCACAGGCAAGGCAGATAAAAGGCTATTTTCTTGCATGCGTCGATTCGCGAAGCAAAAATTCTGAGAGCTGGGAGAAATTTTCCCTGCAGCAAGACCACACTGGTGTGTGGAGTAACTCATGCGACTTCAAGCTTAATTTATATCTGTAACACTCCCCACAATAAGAACATTTATTTAGCATCCCAGTCGCATAGGTTCTCTGGTGTACGCTTAGCTCCTTCTTTGTCCCAAAAACTTCTTCGCATACTAAACAGGAATAGGGTTTCTTAGCTTCTTGGGGTCTCTGATCTGTAGAACATCCCAAAGACAAACGTCTCTCAGACTTGTGTGTCCTCTGACGGGTAAGAAACTCTGATTTCTGACAATACTGTTTCCCACACGCGTAACATTCGGACTTTCTCACAACTTGGTGGGTCCACTGATGTTGAAGGAACTCCTTCCCGCAATCCAAAGACTTACAAGATTTCTCTCCTTTACCCTCAAAGGGGCCTCTAATGTTGTTCCCACAACGCGAGCAAACACAGGAAACCTGCCCCTTATGGAATCTCTCCGTTTCTCCACAGTGGGCGCATTTATACATCCTCTCACCCCCGTGAATCCTCTCGTGGGTCAAAAGATCAGAGCTGCTCCCAAAGGCCACAGTTCCAGCACTTGTAAGTCTTCTCCATTTGGCTGTTCTCTGGGGTCATCGGTAGTGAACTTGGACCAAGATTTTCCTTCCTCTCGTCAGAGATCACTTCCTTTTCTCCTTCCAAAATGGCGGGCACTTTGGCTTTCTGCGAGGATGTGCCAGTGGTTCTGCTTTCTTAGGACTGTCAAATCGGCCTTTCCATTGCCTTCTCTGTCCCACCCGCCCATTGCCTAATGCAAGAAAAAGGAAAAACCAAATTTGAACTGGAGGTTGCTCTTTAAAAAAAAAAAAGAGCGTTGAGGGAACATGTTAAAAGCAGAGCGCCTCGCTCGCTCCTGCTGTGAGGAAGAAGGGATGACACAAGCGTTGGTCAGCATGACTTTGTACAATACCAGAACCACAGCGTGTGACATTTTTTGTGCGCAATGAGTAACTCAATCATGACATTCCCATTATTGCTAATCTTTTATCACGTAAGGTGACCAAAGGGTTTTGTTCGACTTTTAATTGTTGCATCAGTGTTACCACTTGCTTCTAACTGTTGAAAGTAGAGAGGGGGTTATGTGAATATTTTGTTCTATTTTTAATTTAAAAATAAGAGTCTAGTGCCCTTGAGATAGCAAACAGGCAGCCACAGCAAGCGTCCGATGGGTGAAAGTCAGCAATAAATCATGCTTTCACTTATTTTCTCGGGAAGCACATCCAGCAGAAATATAGTCCTCGGTGAAGAGCAGTACCAGAATGTGGCACTAGAGATGGGCATGAATTGGTTCGTCCCAGTTCATAAAGGCAGGTGCTGCTGCTCCCCAACCTTGCCTCCTTAGCCAATCAGTCACCCACCAGGCCCAGCTTGCTTGTTTTTCCCCACCCCCTCGGCTGATCTCCCAATCAGGAGCAAGAGCACAGACTTCTCTGCCCCGCCCTTTTCTCTGAGTGGGAGATCAGTCAAGAAGGCGGGGCAGAGAAGCCTGAGCTGTTGCCGGGACTGGAAGATCAGCTGAAGATCACAGGGGGAGAGGCCTGGTGAGTGGCTGATTAAGCTAGGAGAAGCAGGAGAGGAAAGCATCACCACCCGTGCCAACTTTACGAACTGAGACGAACCGGTTCGTGCCCATCTCTGTTTCTGTGTCCTCTCTCAGCCAATACAGTGGGAGCTCTACTTATGAACTTAATCCATCCCAGAAGATTTGTTAGTTGAAACGTTCGCAAGTAGAAGCAAAATTTCCCAAAGGAATGCATTGAAAACAGATTAATCAATTCTGGCTGTTTTTGGTTCTTATCTAGAGACGCCGTTCCTACAATCAAAGCATTAGTTCCCATAGGAACTAATGTAAAGCCAATTAATCTGTCCTCTACCACTAGGCAGAGAATTTTACTTCTTTTGACCCAAGATGAACTTAGATCAAAAAAAGGGCAGGAAAGGAGGGGGGGAGGGAACACCTTCTAAACAGAACACCTTTTAAACAAAACCAAGCACCTTGTAAACTCCATTTTAAAGCGCGCTTGCACCAACAATCAGCAACCAGTATTCCAGCACATCCTCATCACAAAAAGAGAGCATTGGGGGGAGGGGGGAGGAGACTTGAGTCTAAACTCCATTTTAAAGCCTGCCTGCCTGGCTGCCTGCATCTACAACCACCACAACCCCTCACAGAATATTTTCTGATTTTAAAACAGACTTTAGAGCCACAATTTAACAACATACATTTTAAAACTAGAATCTACACTGCAAGACCCATCAGAGCACAGAAACATAACCCCCCACCAAGCTGCAAAAAAACCTGTACAGTACAGTAAATACAGTGTAAATACAGTGTACTCACCCAGAACAGGCAGTCTGTTTTTTTAAAAAAAGTAAAAAAAATCCAAAACTCAAAAAATAAAAAAAGTCCGTACAGTACAGTACCAGGCAATACCAGACAGTCTGAAGACTCTCTCCCTATCCACTCTCCAACCGCTTGGACAAGCAAGGTAGCAGACAAGCAGCCTCTTCGCTGGTCAACGGTTAACTGAAAGTTCAAATTTCACGCTTTCCCAGTCTCCCCTGCGTTTTTTTTTTGTTCATACGTTGAAGCTCTGTTCGCAAGTATAAGCAAAATTTTGTGTTCACAAGTAGAAGCAAAATTTTGTGAACGGAGCTGTTTGTAAGTTGAAATGTTCACAGGTAGGGACGTTCGTAAGTAGAGGTTCCACTGTATTCAACATTCATTCCAGATTTTGGTTGCCAGTACAGGTTGTTATAAATAGGAGTTATCTCTTGAATCAAGAGCTAGGCTTACCCATGGCTCAATTAGGTCACTGTGCCGGGCCTTTCCTCACAATAAAACAAAAATGCTCCCCATGTTTATGCAAAGCTGTCTCTTCCCAAGAACATGTAGGAAAAACGTAAGTCTACAAAACACACTCCATCTATCTTAAATAAGCAAAAGCAAGTGATAACAATAGAGCGCTGAACAACATATGCACAGCATTTTTTTTTCTGAAACTAAAGCAAGGTTAACAATTTGTCTGTTCAAGTAGGCAAAAAGTAAGGAAAGCTTTGGAAAGTAATGTTCCAAGAAGAGATGGGCGTGAACTCGGAAAATGGTGGTTTGTGATGGTTTATTGTTGTTCATGAACATTAATGAATTCTCAAAAAACTGGATCAGTTCAATTCAGGATTTTAGGGAGCCACAGAACGGCCCCCGAGCGACTTGAGAGACGCCAAACTCACAAGGAGTCTTCAGTTGATGCTCCTATCCACCACCCCTCCAAATCTGGCAAGAGTTGGATTTGGGATATCCAAATTATAGCCACTCAAATCCGGTCCCCCCAGGAAAGTGCTCTTCAGCAGCTGGCTTGGGGGAAACCAGTGGTTCATGCAAGGGAACCTGAGATGGGGTGTTGCTTGTCATGAGACAGACAGGGAAAGGATCACGGCCTTTTCCCAAACCCCATGGACCACACCTTTCCCTGATTTGCAGATAGGTTGCTCTGAATGGGATGCGCCGCTGGAGGTCTGAGACGGGACAGATCGCTCCAGGTAGAAGGGAAGCTTTGAGGTAGAGAGGTTGCTCTGAGGTAAGTGAGCCGCTCCATAGTAGACCAGTCTGTCTGCAGCTGATGGGCAGCTAGAAGACCCAGATAAATAGGCGGTAGGCAGCTAAGAGTTCGGCCATCTTCAGGCAGGCTCTGGATGTATGGATGCTTTATGGGGACTCAAGGTACAGCAGGAGCCCCATGGCGGAAGCGAACCTCCACCCACCCTAGTGCAGAGAGCGCAACGCCGGATGAAAATGGGGAGCAGAGTTGGGAGGGACGCTGAGGTCAATCCTGCTCCAAGTCCTCTAGCTGGGAAGGTCCAGAGAAGGGAAGCCTAACAAGGGGCTGTTGGCCTTGATGAAGGATAACCGTTCCACCATGACCGGGTCCAGGCGGGAACGGTGTGGCCGGAGCAGATCACTGAGATGAGAAAAGACCCGCTCGCTCTGGACACTGGTAGGGGGGCAGGAAAGGAGGTCCATGGCCACTGTGGATAACTCTGGCCATATGGCACTTTTACGTGCCCAGTACTGGAGGGGGTCGGACTCAGGGGGCTGAGTGGGCTCTGCCAGATACTCGCGCACCATGATCTCTGCAGAGTCCTCTTCCACAGCCCGCGCAGCCTCTCCGGCAGCGGCAACCGCCCAGCAGACCACTGAGTTCCAGTACTGTGGGGTGGATCCCCGGTTGGGCGTCGTCTCCGCAGAAGGGCTGGCACACGGCTCCTGCGGATGACGCTCCTCCTCCTGTCCCTCGCACCCGGGCATCCCCGGTTCTTCCCCTCCGCGTCTCTCGCCCTGAACCCTGCGGACCTCCGTGGAGAGCTCCGTCCTCCACTCCTCGAGCTCCGCATTCTGCAAGGCCAAACTGGCCTTGATCCGTGGATCGCAGAGGCAGGCTAATCGGTAAACCCTGTCTCGGCAGAGTGGATGGAGTCGCTTCCGCACGCCGGCCTGCAACCTCAACACCAAGGCCCTGGTCTGGGGAAGCAGGGAGGACCCCTGGGAGTACGCAGACTCCAGCGCCCGGTCGAGGGCATGCACGAGGGGGATGACTTGCCCCAGGCTTGCGATGTGAGCACAGAGGACGTCATTGGTCTCCTTGAAGGGCTTCAGGACCTCCACCATCTGGGAGAGGGCCAGCCAATCCACGGAGCTGATGCCCACCTCCCTTCCCTCAGACAGGATGGGCGTGGTGGACATGATGTCCTCCAAGGTGGTCTTCTGCTCCACCAGACGGGAGACCATCACATAGGTGGAATTCCAGCGGGTCGGCAGGTCTTGGAGGAGCACATGCTCCTCCTGCCCCAACTCATCCTGCCTCTCGCGCAGCCAACGGGCAATGTTCAGGCTGCGGGAAAAATGGCTGACCAAGTGCCGGCAGTTCTCCAACAGCGCACGGGTCTCCCGCGTTCCTGCGTTCCACTCCGGGTTGACTCTGCTCCCCAGCCCGACAGCGTCCTGCACGACCAGGTGCAACTGGTGCGCCATGCACACAATCCCCTCAAAGCCGGCTGCGTTCAACACCGCCAACATGTTCCGACTGGCATCCGTCACCATGTGGCCACGGAGCACTTGGCCCCGTGGCGCCCACTCCTCCAGCGCAGCCAGGAACTCCTCGGCGATGTGCTTCCTGGTCGCCTTGGCCTCCAGATTCCGCACCTGGAGCAGGACGGACCTGTAACCTGGAGGCAGGATGGGCACCTCTCCTTGTGGCCCTGTTGTCGGTGCCCCGGCCGTTTTCAGGTCCTCTGGCTGCCACCAGTGGGCGGTGAGGGAGAGGTACCGGTGGTGGCCGCTGCTCCACATGTCCGCTGCGAAATGAACCTTACGGCCGTGGGTTTGGGAGAGCTGGGCCCTGACCAGCTCCCGCACGGAGTCATAGATGGAGGGCAGGATTCGCCGGCTGATGGTTCTTCTCGACGGGGGGACATACCAGGGGGCAAAGAAATGAAGCACGCGGCGGAAGGCTGTGGTCTCCACGGTGGCCAGAGGCAGTCCGAGCAACGCGATCATCTCGGCAACGAGGCGAGTGCCCGTCTCTTGTGCCTCCCCCCTAGTCATTCTGCCCAAGGGCGTTGGGGTCTCCGCCGGAGCGTCCTCCTGGAGCGTGGCCGGCCGGAAAGGCTCCCCTGCCACGCCCCCCATGGCTGTCTTCTTGACCAGCAGCGACTGCCTCTCCCTCCCCAGTTGTTCCCACAGGGCCTGCCTCTTCCTCCCCGCCGAGGCAGTTCCTTCGAGGGGAAGGACGTTCGGGTGGTGCCTCTGGAGGTGGCAGCGAAGGGCCGTGGAGGAAAGGTGCCTGGGGTTGGATCCCCTGCGCACCACCACGCTGCATATGTTGCAACGCGCCGCGCAAGGGTCTTCGGGAACGTTCGAGAAATGGTTCCAAAGCGGGCGCTTGGCACGTTCTGCAGAAAGCGGGGCGGGGCGGAGGGCTAAGTGGCCCTGGTCATGACTGGCCCAGGGGGACTGGGCGGTGTGGATCGTCTGGGAGGATTGTGGCACGCTGGTCTCGGAGTACTGGAGGGACAGGGGTGGCTGGGGGGCAGAAGCATGCATCAAGGCTTGGGTTTGGGGGGAGATGGAGGGTCCCCGATCTTGAACACTGAACTCTTCGGAGTCCTCAATGAAAATAATTTGCTCTTTTTCAGATACTTCAAACCGCTTTTCTTCCACCTCCTTCTTCCACAGGTGGATTCGAACATGATCTGACTTGAGAGGAGGAACCGCATCTCCCAACACACCCGGCGACACTACGCTGGAGATGGACGCTCCTGGATTGGCTAAATGGGCTCCTTGGGCAGGAACGGCGCCTGTTCTTGAGGCGGAGATTGGCTTCTTCCCTTTGGACCTCTGACCCGTCCTCCTTTTCGGATGGTCCGACTCCCACAGCAGAGGCGCCCAGAGGCAGAGAAACCCTTCCACGGGAGTTGCAGGCAGGCAAGAAGGTAGTTGGGGACCTGGGAGAAAAGTTTAGTGTGGGTGTGACGGACTGATCTTGGCAGAGAGAACCTTCTTGGGGGCCCAGCAGCTTTGGGAGAAAACCCTTCAGCAGGACTTAAGAGGCAAGCCAGCAGGCAGGCAGGCAGGCAGGCAGTTAGGTAACTGGGGACCAGGAAGAAAAGCATAGCGTGGGTTGTGCTTTGGATAAATAGAAAACAGAACTGCTTTATTTTTTTTAAAAAAATAGGCGACAAAAAAAGCCTTTCTTGTCACTGAAAGCCAACCCAAGCAAGTGACCGAGCTCAAAGTTCTGGTAACTTCATTATTTTATATATATACAGTGGTGCCCTGCATAGCGACGATAATCCGTTCCGGAAAAATCGTCG